TTTCCGCGATTATTTCCTTGATATATATATATATATATATATATATATATATTAGACCTTCGTGGCATGATAGCTCATAGACTGAAATAGAGAAGGTGAGAATTGAGCTCTCATCTCCTCGTTATCTCGCTATCTGCCACGCTGAAAAGAGGACGTTTTACTGAAAATTATGGAATAGCGCTTTCAAAGTCAAACGTTTTCCTCTTTCTCGATCGCTCGCTCTCACAGATCAATTTGAAGGAAAGATAGGACACTGCGTTTACTAACTGGAGCTTTTCGTCTGTGTCTACAAACGTTTACCTGTTAGGTGCGACTGTAAAGAGTACACTTGGGGAAATTGTTGAAGGCTTGACAGCCTATAGTTACACGTACACTAACCTGTTCTAATAATGTCCATCCTTGTCCATCCTTCCCGAAGATTTATAAGCTGATTGTGCCAGATTCTGGATGCATGAGGGAGAATTTATTGTGCAAGCACGTACGCGAATGCTTTCATGTATAAGATCAGCTATCCGAAACAAAACTTGATGAGGGCTTTCTTGTAAAGCCGCTTTTGTCTGTGATTACTAATACTAAAGCTACTTCCACGTTTTAAGTAAGTCGAATTTCCGCCTATCCAAACACATCCTTGAATTTGTTGACCAAGATGAATTGCTCTACTGGTTTTCTTGGTCTATAGGCTTCCTTTTCCGTCTTTGTGTCCTTTCTGCAACCTTTTCACCTACATTTTAAACGGCTTTGATTTCTTTATTGTGCAGTCTTCACGCACTTATACGACCCCTGGTTTGCGTAAGAAACTTGAGTGAGGGCACTTGTGTCATTAGACGGCCTCCCTAGAAAGCCTTACGTAAAACTTTAATTCAAATGATGACTGATAACCGTCATCTTAGACAAAGAATTTACGATGAAGGAAGCAGACAATAACTAAACCGACTTCCTTGAGATTTTCGTCTGTCGCAAAGATTGTGGTTATCTAAAACTACAGTTTTTTAGGAAAACAGAAAATGTGACGTAAGTACTAAGCTTTACCAGAAGCCACACAATCAACCATTAACCCAAGTGCATCGGAGCACACCACAACGGTTCTAACTTTGCTCGAGCACTCAAATACGTCAAGAA